TAATTTAGATATTTCATTTAAAGAATAATATCATATATAATTCGATTTTTTTTGATAAATTTAAATAAATAAAAATAATGTTTTTTAATAAATTTTAATTTTTTTTATTAGTTATATATTTATTAAATTTAAGTAAATAAAATGGACAACAATGGATACCAATATTATATGTCCATTACTTAATCAATAAACAATGGATAGCATTTTTTGTCCAATATTGTTCATTGTCCATTATCCAGTCATGACAACACAGGAATAACATATATTAATTATTTTTTTTTATCCTTTTTTTATTATAAGCAAACATTCTTTCTGGAATAAATAAATTATATAATTCATTAAAAAATCCTTTTAATAATACTTTTGTATTTCAAGTAATGTTTAAAAATGATTTGGATTTAATTTAAGTATTTGATTTTCTTTTCTCTGTTTATTATATAATATTTTAGTCATTAACGTAATCTTGTCACCAAATGATAATAGTTTTATATTATTAACAATTATGTTATTTTGTATATTAGTATTTTGTATATGATTAGTTGGTAATTTATTATGATCAAGTTCAATAATATTAAGATAATGAGAATATCATAATTGTTTTCCAATTTTTAAATAATTATATTGATTAAAAGTGTCTTTTTCTTTTGCTTTTTTTAATGTTTTATTTATAATTTCATAATATTGATCTGATTCTATTTGACAATTATGAATAGAACAAATATCAAGATTTTTTTAGGTTATTATATATAAAGTAGAAATGTTAAATGATCCTAAATAATTATAAACATATTTTGAAATTATGAGTTATAGAAAAGTCTAATCACTTATTTATAATAATAACTCTTGATAAAAATTATAATAATAAATTTTATGAATAACTTATAAAAGAAATATGAACTTTAGAATTAACAATTAATATGAGACTGCCAAGTAGAATCCAATCCTTCCTAAATTTTAAACATTAAGATTCTAGGTTGCCACAAAAGTTTAATATATATTTTTAATAAATATTCAATTATCTAATAATTATTAGAAAATAAAATATAATACCACTAAAATAAAAATCTTTTCTAGAACTGGCAAATTTATTGGACTTTTAAAATCATTTAAGACCATTTAACATCCTTAATATAAAGTTTTTAAAATTAGTTTTTGGTAAAAAATATTTTTTTTTATTAAAACTTTTTATATTATTCTTTAATAAGTATAATACAAATTGATTTCTAAATAAAAAACTAAAATATAAAGCCATTTTATTATACAAATGCATTAACTTTATTACTAGTATATTTTATATATGCACATTCTTTTATGATGAGTTTAATGCATAATACACTTTGCACTTTTTGCTACTAGTTAATCATATCTAGTACCTCTAGTTAATATACACGTGATGAAAATTTAGAATTTTTATTGGTGTAACATCATCATGTAGATCACGATGGATCTGAATTAATTTCTACAAAGATGATGATTAAAAAATTAGGAATGTATAAAGTAATACTAAAAAGGTTAGGAATGCATAAAATAATACTAAAAAAAATAGAGAATGTTGAGTGCTCTCAGTTGTTTTGAAGATGTATATTTCTTAAATTTATTAGTCGATTCGTTAACCAAAAAAAATTACTTTTTTTAGAAAAAAATAAAAAAAATTTTTTTTATTAGGAAAATTTGTTAATAAAAAGCCAGGATTTGTTAAATGTTATAAAAACATATTTACAACAAAATCATAAATGACTTGAATGGAAAAATAGAATTCAAATACCCAATTCTACTAAATTTTTTATAATAAACCATTACGATTTTCATTATATAAAGCCACGTGATAAAAAATTTTACTATAAAAAAAAATTGTAAAAATTGAGGCGAGAATCTAAAAATTTTTTTAGTTTTCTAAAAAAAAACTGAACCTTTATTATCCGTTAAATTTCTGGAGATTTTTTTTATAGAAATAAAAAACGGTCCATTTTTACAATTTTTTTGATATACTACTATAGCAATAAGATTAATACAGAATAAAATTTATTTATTAGTTTCTATAAGATGAAATTTCAGATTACTGCTTAAATTTTAAAGCAGTTCGCTGGATACGGTACAAGTCGATAATAAACTTGTTACCAACTACGTTTGTCGGGATTACTGGAATATATGTAGGTGGGATAGGCAACGGAGGGTCCCAGAAAACTTCACATATAGGAATTGATATCTGAAAAGTTGCCAAGTTTGGCGCGTTGCAATCAGTAGGATCATTGACAGGATCATGTGAATATTTTTTAGCATTCCCAAAATCCCACCGTTGTTCTACCATCCCTTGGCGGTAAAGTTTTGCCTAATTTTTAACAGTTCAGAATAATTAGATATGAATGATGTAATGCTTAACTTGATATCATTGAATATTAAGTAAGATATACCGTCATTGTTCTATAAAAATATCCAGTTGTAGGTTCTCGTATATTTCGTCTTGGTTCAGAAATCTTGATACTAACGACAGCACGAACGTAACGTTCTTGCATCCAAGTCAAACACCTTTGTTTCAAACGCCCATAACTTTGTCCTACGGCTATTTCACACACGATCCGTGCATGAGGATTTCCCTACATAAACCATAATAATGAAAATCAAATATAAATTATAACAAAATAATACACATCAAACTCAACATACATCATTATCACTGGGAGGACGAGGGATTACAGTGGATACGGAAGGTCTTGATACAAATGCTATATCTGGACATACAGCAACATCAGGAGCTATTTTAACCCCAGTACCATCAGGATGATAGTGAACTACAGTATATGGAAAGTCCATAAGAATATTGAAAATTCTATAACAAGAAGCAAACTAGAATAGATTCACTTACAAGGTTGTCCAGCGACATTTATTGGAGGATCGTCAACAACTCCATTATTAGGTACTTTGAAAAAATCTTGAAGCCGGTTAATAACAAACTCATGTACGGGTGAGGCCATACCAATAATATACACGTTTCCAGTTTTATTGTCGTCGTTTAATTGGAACCAGAATTTGTATCCAGATGACCCATGATTGTGAAGGAAAGTGTTATAATTTTTTATCGTTACTTTCGAGCCAATTTGGAAAGGCAAACTGCATTCCATACAAAATCAACATTAGGTGGTTACGTTAAAAAGTAATACACCCACCCATAAACCCACCTGCTCTCTTCTAACGGCTTTTTTGGTAATTTTGGATAATTATGTAAAAATTCGTTAAGTCTATCCAAATGATTTGCCAACCAAAAATTGTTTGAAGTACGTGCACGAGACATTTTTAAGAGTAAGTGAAAGAAAAATGTGAAAATTAATGATAAATTGATCAGTTTTTATTGTATCGTTGATGATCTGAGGCGTTCCCAACTGATAGACTGATTTGGCTAAAAATAAAAAATCAGCGAGTTAACGTTTCAGTAAAACAATCAAGGGGTTGATAAGCACACACTTAACTTTTTTTTGTTACTACATCATCTCACGCACTTTACATTTTTTATTTAACTTCCTTCTTTTTCAATGTAAATAGATTATTGTTTTGCTTTTAATTTTTTAATTTCTGACTCAAAAATACTAATACGTGAATTTATAATATATATATTTTTAATTTTATGGTTGCGATGACGGCGGAAATGACTTTTTTTTCCTTTAAATGATAGCGAAATTTTCTTTTTAAATAATTTGGCAAATAATTATCTGTATTGTCTGTTACTCATAATGCACATTTATCAAAAGAAAAACCATCTTGTTGTATATACTTTGTAACAATATCAGATACAGTATTTGCATTACAGCTAGGAATATCCTCAAGATGAGCCACAGTTATAATGGGTATTTAATCTTTTTGATTCCAAAATTGATAACATAAAACAAAGTATTTTGCTTCACCTCGTGTAGATTCATCAACTAAAATTCCAAATGATGAGGTCATAATTGCCTGATGGATTTGAGCATTGATATGTAATGTAGAAATATCTTGATGCCAAGTGCACAATGTTGATAATGTTATCCAATTTTGTGGTAGCTCTCCAATTAGAAATTCATAAATTATTTGCATACATTCTACTGTAGAACATAATGATGTCCGACAAATTTGTGAAATACTAGTTGCAAGCCAAATAGCATTTGATGTATATTCTCGCTTATTTCTTGAAAAATGGATTTTAGCTTTTTCCGAAAGGTTGTATTTGTAACTTGTTGTGAACGTCGAGCTAATGATCGAATTTTAGATATGCGATCTGCATTTTGATTGACAAGATGCATATTTTGTACTCCAAGAGATTGTGTTTTTTTAATTAAAGTTTGATTTTGTAGAAGTTTTTTGTAATCAATTTTCAGTTTTTTATTTGATATTTGCAATTCTTGATATGTAGATTGGTGCTTATAAAAAGTCTGAGAGACATATTCTCTTGCCCTATTTTGAAGATAAGAAAAAATAAGTTTGCCTTCATTTGGACCTTTGGGATAACAAATAGTTTGTAATGAGATGATTTGCTACTAAAATTTCCTTATCAGATAATTGTTGAACAGAAGAAATTAAATCCATTCATTACCTATCTTCTTTGCTTAATGCTATCCCTGAATTAGTATTATTTAGCCTTGTTAACAATTCTAAAGTATTCTCAAGTTTTGGCTCATCCATATAATTTAAAATCTCATCAATTTTTCATTTTTTGTCATATTTCTTTGCTTCACTTCAATTTCACGAGCTTTTTAAAATGTCAAGGCATTTCCTATTAAAATTTCTGAATCTTTGAAGTCTTAATAACTCACATATTATTAAACATTTGTGCAATACTAAAGTTTTAAACAAATGCATTATAACTTCAAGAAACTTGAAATACCTCATTTTTTTGTAAATTTCAAAGAGAAAATTTTTTTTCCTATAAAGCTATCTTCAAAGGTATTGTAAAAATGGATTTATTATTTTTTTAAAAAAAAGCAAGGTATTTTATAAAAGAGATAGCTGTTCAAATCACTTTAACAGAATTTAGAGTGGGATGAGAAGAAGGTTTTGATGTTATTAAAGTATAGAGAACACATCAATTTAGTGAGAGACTTCTTATGAAATTAATTTTAAACTATTTGTATTACATGATTTAATATAAAAAATTTGATAGTAAAATTTACTATAGGACTTGATATAGTTTTATTAAACTATGTTGACTGAACACCCCAATGTTATATGCATCAAGGATTTTCACCAGGTTCTAGTATAACTACATTAGGTGATAAAACTCTACATCCTATTTCAATCTCTTTAACCAGTTCTTTATAAACTATTTGTATATCAAAATCTGTTTTTAAAGTTTGCAAAAGTAAATAAATTTTATTTTCAAAACTTTGGATTTCATTTTCTGTAAATTGGGAAAAACCAATTCTAAATGGTTGTTTTTTTTAAACTTGCATTAGTTATAATTTGATGAATTGAAATTGTTAAATTGAACTGAAATACCATTCGTAAAGTTGCATGTAATGTATTTTAAGTAACATCATAGATATTTCCATATGCAAAAGCCCGTTCTTTAAAATCTATATTGTCTATAACACAAATATTCTATATATTTTCTTCCTGTATTAATCTTTCTTCCAGTTTAATTCTATCAATTCTATCCTTCTTTAATCTTCTTTCATGACATTACATATGTGAAACTACGCTTGCAGTACATAGAATTGTATATAATGAGCTTAATAAATTTGGTTTTTGACATAATAAGCTCATAATATGAGTAAGTCATACATATGTCAACATCTAGAAACGCAATTGATAAAATCATGGAAATGATAAAAATTGATATTTTATTTGAACGTGTTTTATCATAATTCTTTGCTGATAATTCTTATTGTTTACGTTTTTTCTCAGTAATTTCAAACTTTTTTCTCTGTAATATAGTTATCAATCTACCAAAAAATCTGTTAAAACTAAAGGAAAACCACAATGGTATTCTTCGAGTAATTGTGATATTTCAAGATTTTTTTTTGTGAACTTCAGAGCGTGATTTCCACACACACAATCTAAATACTTCTTCTACTCTTTTTGGATTTTCATTTAAAAGATTACTAATTAAAAGTTCTTCCTTTAACTTTCATATATTTATTTTTTCTATTCATAATATAGTCTTAACAAAAACTAAACTCAGAGGTATTTCATTAATACTATTATCATTATTGTTATCATTATCATTTTGTTTTGCGTTTTCAAAGATTTTACTAAGAATTGTACTAATTTCTATTAATAAACTATTTTTCATTCTAATATTATTTAAATCGGCTACACCTAAAATTCATCTACCTAATAATTTTAATGCATTTGTAGTATTATAAATATAACTTTCATGATATGAAAAAGCTTTTGATCCACTTTCTTTCCATTCAAAAAAATGTTCTCCTTCTTTTTGGAAACATTCTTCTGAGCATATATAATATGCATTCTTATTTTTACTAATTTCTTTAATAATCCTATCATTTTTAAAACTTGAACAAACTTGAAGTCCTACACAAGGTACTTGCATATTTCGATCATTAATGCTTACTAATAATTCTGCACAATTTTTGTCATGACTAAGGTTGCTGAACGAAATCAAGAGTTTAGACAGTCATCTAAATAGTAAAAGTAAAACTTGGTTAAATTATATTAAAACCTTATTAAAAAATCTGCGAAATTTGGAAAAAGGTAAAACTATATCAAAGCTTATAAAAATGGCGAAACTATATCAAACACTTAGTAAAAATTTAGCGAAACTAAAGGTTTTACCATTTTGCCAAATTCAAAATAAGTTTAGACAAGCAACCTTAGTCATGACTAAAAAAATATTTGTCTTTAGTAATAACAAAAAAAACCTTGATTTTCGATTATAAACATTAACGCTACGTTAAAGATCAATTAATAAATTAACGTGATAATTAATCATATTTATTAAAAGATTATTTAATTCTAATATCGGTATAAATATACAGAATACAAATTCTTTCATATTTTTTCTTAGCATAAAATAACTTAACATTAATATCGATATATAATAATAGCAATTAGATAAATTCTCATCAACGTTAAATTTATTTCTATTATACGAGTTGAACACATTATTTTTGAAATCCAGAATGAGATAAATCTATGATAGGCAAATAAATTATCATTATTGAAAATCCACATGAAATTATACAAAAGATCCTTTTTAATCAAATATTTACTATTACAAAAATCAAATTAATTACAATAAACGATTGATTGTTGATCTTTGATAGTTCTAGGAATATAATTTCCCAATTTATCTGCATCTACTTTATTAACTAGAGAAAATCCAAAAAGATTTTTATTAGCATTAAAAAAAAACTAACCTTTCTAAAATAATTTAAAAATCTATCAACTTTTTTATACTTATTATAATATCTCTTTTATGCTATCATAAAAATTAATTTTAGAAGATCCTTTTGATAAATTTTATCAAATGCATTCTTCAATGCAATTACATTTCTGTGAAGCTGTGAAACTGATCTTTACTTACACCATCTCGATAAAAAATCTTAGAAGAACTCTATTCTTTTTATAGAATGCTTTCAATAAATCAGATATATTTGTTATGAATTTGTTTGTTAACACTCATTCTATCATAATATATTATTGCCCTTGATGCATAAATTGCTGCAATACTAAGTTGATTCTTTCGCCCAATTCCAGGATAAGAAATATCTGCTTTAATAATCATTATCTAAACAAAATGAAAGATAAAACACAAAATTACAAAATTATAATATTTCAAAACTAATTTCAAATTACTTTAATATACTTACCATTACAGAGATATCTCCTATAATTGATAGTTCATCTTTAAAGAAATTACAAATTGTGTCCGTCCAGCTTAACAATTAATTTTTAATCTAACATTATTCTAAAGTAACATATCAATATCAATATTATATATATCAAAATCATCTCACTATTTATATAGTATAGCATTCCTAATAAGCAATTTCATTCTTAAAGATCATAAAAACATAAAAAATAATATTTTTTATTTGAACACTTTGAAGAAAGATCATTTTAAGGTTATAACTGCTACAGTATTTATTGTTCTATTTGTTCTGAAAACCAACCTAAATATATATTTTTTCTTAATAGTGTAGAGAGGGTTAATTTGTTACATTCTTGAAAAAAACAAAAGTAGTAATGCATTATTTGCTTTTTCCTTATGAAAAAGTGCATTTTTTATACTGGTCAATCATGTCAACCCTATTAAAAAAATTAAATCTCAATTTTTGGAGACAAAAATCTTGTGTTCTGTTAAATTAGCGTAATATTATATATGAATGTTGTCCCAGTGATTTTTGGCGAACACAAGATGTCCTAAAGTCTATGTTTGGGACTGTATCCGTAGGACTAGTGATTGGAATTGAATATACTTAAATATACTTAAATATTCATTTAATTTTAAAAAATATATTTAAATAATATTCAAGTTGATTATTCAAATAATATATAAATAAATTATCAAATAAATTATATTTAAGTAGATTTATTTGAATAATTATTCAAATATCATTTAAATATTATATTTAAGGTATATTAATACGAAGCCTTTAATTTATTGCAATATCTAATATTATCTCATTCGGAAAAGTTGATGAAGAATAAAAAGAAAAAGATATTGATGAAGATGAAGATAATAATAGTGAAGATAGTGATAATAATGAAGATGTAATGCAAATTGAAGATCATAATATCATTAGCAAATAGTTATTGATGGTCTTTAACTTTTATATTTAAAATCATTATATAACTTTACAGAAGTAGCATAATAAAAAAATATGTGAAAAAAACCTTAGTTTATATAAGTTTAAAAAATCGTTAGAAAGAACAATAGAACTTGTTTCTATTTTTTATAATAAATGTGAAATTTTTGTATATGTTATATTGGAATTTATAAATCTTTTTAAAGTTACCTATTATGTGAATCATCAAGATATGATCCAACAAATAAATCTAAAAAGTTATACTATATCTTTTTATTAAAAAAGGATAGAAATCCAATATAATAATAAAGTAAGAGCAGAAGAATTACTTTACTGTTATCAATATGAAAAGCAGTTAGTAGAAAAGGAGAAAATCCAAAATTTTTGTTAATTTTATTATTAAGCCAAATTTGTACACATGACTGAGATCAGTTAAGTACGTCAAATACAGTCGATATACTCTATAGTCACTTCAGATATAGTCACATTCCCTTTTATAAGCATATTTACGTTAGTCTAAGTTACTAATAAACTTATTAAAAAATCCTTCTCTTTAGTCATACCATATAGTATTTTTATAATCACACCATTTTTTTTTTGATCCCAAGAGGTGTAACTATATAGAGAGTCAACTATAATATAAATTTTAATTAAAATTTAGATTTCTTCCTTTTCTACTAATTGTCTCTCATATATTAATAATAAAGATATTGATTCAGAAGATTTAAAAGATACACTATCCTATTAAAAATATCTGGTCAACTAATAAAAATTATATTTTATTATTAAATTTATTAAATTATATTAAATTATAAATAATGCTTAGTATTTAGTTAGCCATCCATTATTTTTAATGCATGCTTCAATTCGATGTAATATGCTTTCAATTAAATTTATATAAGTTTCAGATGG